AAACTTTACGCTGGCATTGGCAAAACAACGGAAAGTAAAACATATAAGGAAAAAGTAAACCATTGAATGAAATAAACGTTTAACATTGTAGACAAGTAGACTTAACATTTGCTAATATAATGAAAATGTATTTTGATCTAAATAGATCAAAATACATTTTGATCTATTTAAAAATGAAATCATCGTCTAAAATCATCGCATTGACTGCCGAAAAAAGAGAGCGTTCTACTCCTTCACTACCCGAAAAAGGATATTTTCCTATGTTTAGGCAATAAGACAACGGTTGAATTTTTAATGGGTATCCTCTAATCATATTTAGATTGGCTTTTTCTCGAAAATTATGTCATTAATTGAATTTATTACTCTAAATACTGGTATTAAATCAAATAAAATTAAATACCTAGGTGCCCTGTAGGCTACATAAATTAACCTAAAATGAGTTAACGTATAAAATCAGCTAACCTGTAATCATAAAAATAAAAGGACACTTCCAAGCTCACAAATAATCGTGTATATTAAAATGGGGCGCAGAAAAATTAATGCCATTCAATCTGATCACATGACCAAACGTCCGATTTTATTTTTTAAATCATTCTTCATCGGTCGATGAATTTTCAACAGATCCTCACCTTACAATCAACTTCATATTCTACAATGAAAGATTTTTCGATTGGATAATAATTGATGAGACTGACTGACGATTACTAATGAGTAGTGAGATCGAGCCTCACTAGGTGGCGCATAGAAAAATATTTACACTCAAGTCAGGGCCAAAAATGATCTGTCGCGCTGGCATCGGTATAACTATCCATCCCCACTCTATAGTGCAATACGGTGGGTACTGCGGCGGACAGCTGTTTCTCCGGGAACAGTATTTTTTTTTATGTGGGGCAACTGAGTGCGCACAGACGAGTGCGCACAGCCGATTGCGTACACCCGAGTCAAGGCCCAAAATTGGCGGTTACCCTGGCTTTCGGTTTGACTACCGATCCTCACTCTCTAGTACAATGATGTGGGTAGTGCCACAGGCAGCTTTTGCCCCTGGAAAAGTATTTTTAATGTGGGACACCCGCGTGCGTACACCCGAGCCAGGGCCAAAAATTATCAGTTGCGCCGCAATTGGTATGAATACCGATCGCTGCTCTCTAGCTCAATCGCGTGTGGGGTACTGCCCCTGGCAGCTGTTTCCGCGAGAACAGTACTTTTTCATGTAGGACACCCGAATGCGTACATCCGAATCAGGGCCAAAAATTGGCGGTTGCGCTAGCATTGGTATGACTACCAATCCCTACCCTCTAGTACAATGGGGAGGTGGGTACTGCCGCGAGTACCTATTTCAACGGGAACTGTATGTCCACCAGCTGCGACTCTGCCGACGAACAGAGGCACAACTGAGTTGCCCGAACACAGAGATGATTACACTACCTTACCTATGCCAGGTAAGTACAGATCAACTTCGGTTCTCAAACGTCTCACATGTCGAACAAATTGGTTTTTGAACAGAAAGATCGAGTCGAAAATGCCTCGGTTATCGAACAAAATTTCGGTTCTCGAACAACATTGCCAAACCGAGTTAAGCCGAACGGAATCATTTCTGAGTCGACCACCATGTTTTATATATTTCTGTGTTGTGCCGTGCCCTTCTTTTCCAATTTTATTGTACTGTGACTTTTTTCTTTACATTTATTTCGATCGGAAAAATAGTTTCGGTTTACGAACATTTAGCGTTAGAATTAAATTCGTGAACCGGGGTCCCACTGTATTATAAATTTAGTAAGCATAGCTTAGATGTGGCACAAGGCCGATAGTGTGGATCACCCAGTGAGGATCAAACTCACTATTAAGTCGTAATAGCAGTAGCGCTACAAACTTGCTAAATATTACGAGTTCTCGGGTTAATATGATTTACCAGTTTCTATTATTATTATTATTATTATTTTCTTTGATTTCTGGCGTTTACACATTTCTTTCCGGGTCCCGCCCAGGGACCTAAGGTTACAAATGGCAGCATGACACTTTCCACTGACAAAAAAAAAAAAAAAAATTACATAGATAAAGCCCTTTATTTTTTTGTATCTCCTTGAGGCATGGACTTCCAGGAATCCCTGCAATCTTTTCCAACCAGACCTAGGGCTCCAACTACAACAAGGATTGTTGATGTTCCCATATGCCACATTTTCGAGATTTCTATTTCAAGGTCCTTGTATTTTGACAGCTTTTTGAATATCTTCAAAGATACATTGCAGTCAGCAGGGACTGCCATATCAATTTTTATTATTAATTCCATATCATATTATTATTATGTGAGAGCAGCGCGCCAAGAAAAATGGCGTCGCTTGGTTACAAACATACGAAACTCAATATACCTATCATCGTATTCAATTTGATAAGGGTATATCAGGCAGATATATCCCATGCTAATATGTACGATATTGTACTGTCAGGTTTTGGAAAAAGCAACGCATAACCTTACATGTGGGCCTAGTTAAAAAAACTTTCGAGTTGGATAACCAATTCCGCTGAGATGGTCTCCGATTGAGGGGGTTTCTGTTTTCTTTTCAAGTTGCCTTGGCTTCCTCATCCGCAAATTTAAAAATAACAACCCTCTCGACACCTGTTATTATTTCTATTTGAGCAATTATTATGACTAATTAAATTTACGATTAATTAATAATTAACAGCTTTTTATGTTTTTTTTTGTTTCACTTTCGAGGTTTACAATTACTCTCATCATAGTGTCCATCTTTTTTGCAATAGTTTGTTTTTTGATTTTGTTTATTTATTCTGGTATGTAGGTGCATATTCAATGTTTATATCACAATCCCAACTCTGTTTGAATGGTTCTTGCTCTTTTACCGTTCCTACCCATTTCTATCATATATTCTTTATTATGATCTTATTTCATACTAGCAGTAGAGCCTGGCGTTGCCCGGGGATGTAACAGTAAGAGATAGATCAAGTATCGACCATCATAAAGACTGAAAAATAAAATTGACAAAGATTATTGTTTAAGGTTGACGGACACGCATGTCTTGTTTTTGTTTTGTTGTTTTTTTTATGAATTGGTCAAACCCAAACTCAAACAAAAACATTGTTTTCAATTGTTATGTGTCTACAGATTGAATAGAATTTTATTATAAACAATTGTCTTGTAAATGGAATTTTTAAAGCATTCTGAATATAAAAATAAAAGAAAAAGTGTGCAAGACAATAAGAAACACTAACTGCCAAAAAAAGTGAAGTTTTGTTGAAATCGGTTGAAAAATGTAGGAAATCCGATCCCATATATAAACGAACACACACACACACAACCTGGGTTTTATAATAAGTATAACTCGATATGAGTTGTTCCCCTTTCATTCTCGCGATGACTCTTAATCGTGTTTTCAAATTGATTTCGCGCAAAAACAATTGTTTTTCAATTTTTGTCTTGTGAAGTTTTGTTGAAATCGGTTGAAAAATGTAGAAAATCCGATCCAATATATAAACGTACAGACACACACACACACACACACACACACACACACACAAAAAAAATCTGCGTTTTATAATAAGTAAGATGGTTTTAATTTTTTTATGATAATTTTACCGACCCATGTTTGGCTTTCGGGAAAAATCAAGTAAGAATTAACCCATGGAAGCCTGAACGTGGGATAATGTTTAGCGTGATAGTTGGATTAGCCTTTATTACTGGGTATTAGTTTGATCCTGACTGAATGACCATATTTGTGATCATGTTACCAAACTAATCAAAGCTTACGAAATACCTGGACACATCTGTGGTCGTAATGGTTAACAAGCTAGTTAGATTTCTATTACCAGAGAACAGTGAATTCAATCTTCACCGAGTGTCCCGTATTGGTCAATATCTGCCCAACTAAGGTCAATGTATCATTAGTACAACCTCACAATAAACCCATCTCCTCGCTCTAACTAGGGATTATACAGTAAGATTTGTATCAGAAAAAAAATCATTGCTATTCTAAAAGAATATGTTAATGCTATATTCATTCGCAAAGAAAAAAGAATTATATTTACAAACCAAAATAGTTTTGGATTAAATAACCCAGAAAGGGTTGATGAACTGTAAAAAAACATCAATCAAATCTATCTAAAGATAGTTCGCTAGATAGATAGATTTGATTGACGTTTTTTTACAGTTCATCAACCCTTTCTGTGCGGTTTAGTTACCATTGCTGAAGAAGTTGTGCGTGATCAAACAGTATGGAATCCAAATTATTAGAAACGCTCAAGAAATAGACCAGTAAGAATCTTCAGCGATCAACTCATAAATGACACAATAAATAAATTAAAATAAAACAAATAATTCCGTTAGTATTTACTTTTTGTTTTTCATATTTCCCCAATGAAACATGACTCAATTTCAATTAATTGCTCAAGTGTGTAAGTTTGTTAAATAATTTGTTAAGGATAATTGGAAATTCAGACGTTTCCTGTTACTCAACTGCGAATGACGGAAATTTTTGCAAGAGTTAAAAAGTAAAATGACAAACAATATCTTACGAGACATTTCTTTTACTATTTCACTCAAAAAACAAAGCATGAGAGAGAGAGAGAGAGAGAGTTACTGAATGTGATTGTTGTGTATGACAGTGAATGCTGGAAAATCTACTTACAAATGAAGGCGAGACTTGAAGCAAAAGAAATGTGGTTCTACAGAAGGTTGCTGAGAATACCAATGAACCAAGAATGTGAGCAACAATGAAGTTTAAGATTGATTGCTTTCTACATCTTATCAGCCCTTTAGAGGTTATTTAAAGAATTATTTTTAGATTCTAAGAATGTTTCTTTTGAGATATGTTTTTTTTTGTCATACAAGTTTTACTATTTAACCCATTGCTGGGGATGAACGGGTAGATTCATAGGTTTCCCAACAGTATTTGCGCGTAAGTGAATATAACGAACCCAACGGCAATCGTACTTGGCTTTCCTATTAACAATTCCGAGGGATTATCCATTACACCACCCACACATTCAAGCTTACGGCACCTGGTATCCCAAAGCGGTCGCCCATCTAGGTACTGGCCAATCTCGGCGTTGCTTAACTTCGGTGATCATATGGGAATTGATGTTTCAACGTGATGTGGCCGTAAGTCTGAATTCTGAAGTTTTAGAGAACATGGAGACAAAAAGGACAGTTATATTTAACATTAAGAAGAGACAGCTGAAATGTCTAGGCCCGAGGGACAGAGGAAAACAACGCATAACTTGCCTAACTAGCTTGAGTAAATGGAAGGCGGAGAAATGTTAGGGGAGATAACAAGAAGAGCACAATTATTAAGGGCTACAAAGGACAGGGAATTATGGCGAGGCATGACCACCCACGTCTTGAAGGGTCACGACACATAGAAGAAGAACAACAACCAAAGTTTTGATCAACAAAATAATAATTTTGATCAGCAAAAACGTTTCATCAGGCAAAATAAATTGATCAGCAAAATAAAAATAAAAAGATCAGCAAAATAAAATTTGATCAATAAAATTAAAAATTGATCAGCAAAAAATATATTTGAACAGCAAAAAACTTTGATCAGCCCCCAAAATTTGATCAGCAAAATAAAAAAAGATCAGCAAAATATTTTTTTAAAAATAACTCAGCAAAATAAAAAAGATCAGCAAAATATAAAAAATAGCTCAGCAAAATATAAACAAAATGATCAGCAAAAATTTTTTTTAAATCAGCAAAATAAAAAATTGATCATCAAAATCAAAGATTTTTAGCGACAAACAAAAATAATGAAAACAGTTCTATATACAACAATCGGAATTATTTTATAATAGATATTTTGTGAGAATATAGATAAAAATAAATTAAACAATACGTGTGAGTGATAATTGCTATCATCTAAAAAGAAAGACAAATTAATAATTTGAACAATATCCTGATCACAATACAAAAATACAATATCAGAAAACGCTGAAAAATCAACAAAGTACAAAGTTGCTTGCAGATATAGAAAAATCCAATAAGTACTTAAATGAATATAGAAGCATAAAGATGCTCGCCTTAAGACAAAATTCGTTTTCACACTGGCTTGTGTTATCGGCAAAAATCCAATGCGCGTGCGCAGAGCCGGATAAAAAAAATCTACATTCGTAACTCTTTTTTTTTTTTCTTTAAATCGTCTCGTTCAGCATTTAGTCGAAACCGGTAGAAAGGCGCCAATCAATGGCGGAAATGCTCTACATCTGAACGAAAACACGAACTGGGATGAAACTCTTTATGGCTAAGACTTTTCAGCGACCATAATCTCTTGCCGTACATACTTGAATAAAAGCCAAGAAATAAAATCAATGGTGGTTAGGCGTATGTACTTTCTCAATATTTCGCCGATATTCACCAATTTCAACATCGATGTAAATAAAAGAAAGCTCTCAAATATTTGGAGTGGTTGCTTTACAGTGTCTGTTTTACTTAGATTTTGAAAGTATTTTAGAGAACATTTTTCGCATTCACAGTCCCATGACATTCAGGAGATGGTGCTATTTTTAATGGATAGCCGTGTTTGAGTAGACGCCCCAATTATTTATTTGTTTTTAGCAGTTTTTAAATCCTATACCGTAATGCGTACTCGACTAAAAAATTAGTAGTGAAAATGTACCTTTCTTCACAATAAAGAAAGGTACTATTTTTCCCTTAAAGCACACTGACTCGTTCTGATTTTCTCGAATCTCATATCTGCTCAGTTTCTAAAGAAGGAATGAATTTTATTTTTCAATCAGATATTTTTTATTATATATATATATATATATATATTTATATATATTGAACAATAAAAAATATTAAAAAATTAAAATCTTCAGACACACTGGGTTGTACAGTGTAACCCGGATATAAGAGAGTTGTTGGGACCGGAGAAGAAGTCTCTTATATCCGGGTTTCTCTTATATCCGCGTTTGGTCTATTATATATACATTAACACAGGCTCTAATTTGGGGCCAGAGAAAATCTCTCTCATATCCGGGTTTCTCTTATATCCGGGTCTCTTATATCCGGGTTACACTGTAGATTAATATTCTTTCGGTTTTTTTTATTATTATTTCATTTAGATTCCTCGACTAGTTTCGGCCAAAATGGCCATCATCGGGAGAAGAATTATTTCTGCTTGCTGGCAGCAGTGAACTATAGAAATGAATGTCTTGATGGAGAATATATATATATTTAGTTAGTTATTTTGCTTACTCGTATGGGTTTTTTTTTTCTTTGGACTCTGGACTTGAATGCTAGACGATTATTTTCGGCTGACGTACATATTCTTTGGTCTTTCTTTTTTTATACATTTTTCCCCCTTTTGTTATTGGTTTGATTATTTTCAAATCAAGACACCGAAGGTTTTACGGACGAGTATAATTTCTTAGACTTATGAGATTATTACTATATATATATATATATATATATATATATATATATATATATATATATATATGTAGAGAGAGAGAGAGAGAGAGTAGTGTACAGAGTCCTCCCAAAACATGTAAACACACTTCAGGAAAGGAAAAAAAAAACTTGTATAGATATTTTAATACTAAATTTATTCAGAAATCAGGAGATTAATGCATGTTACCTTTGGACGCTATAATCACAAGAGATGATCAAAATGGTGGCCTTTAGCATCCAGATATTTAATAGTACGTAGGACTACTGCTTGGGCAACAACGGCCAAAGTTTCCAGTGGGAATCGTTAAATATAACGGTCAAAGATAATTTTATTAATGTTTTATTTAGTTTTTTATATTTTTCCTTCGGTGGGCGTGAAGGAGTAAAAAAAACTATTCATATCGTCAATTGTCCTAAACGCGTTCGAACACTTGTTTAGCCATTTTCAAGGTGTTTTTTATTTTGGAGTTGTTATTTTCTTTCAATGGTTTGATTGTATATATTATTTGTTTGTTGAACTCTACTAGAAGCGTTAGTTCCGAGCCGTCGTGTGTTGGGCATGCCTGGGATTCGAGTGGGCGACTTTCTATTTTTTTTAAAGAATTTTAGCACGCTGCTCCCATTGTTAAACAAGGTGAGGCTGATGGCGTGCGAGAGAGATGTTTGATGTACAGAGCCTATTTTCTAACGAGATATTTTCGGAAATTTGATTTACATAGAATTCTTGTGTTTTCGACCAGTATTTTTCTTAAGGGTTCTTGTAGATGGTGAGTTGATAGATATTTTTTATGACGCTCTTCTCTGATTTAAAGCACACAAGGTCTAGTATTAGAGTTCAATTCTTAGGTGGGTCTCGGCGGTAGTTGTTTTCTATGCGACTGTCAATAAGCCCGCGTTTTGGCGAGGCCAAGATTCATGGTCTCACGAGTCTGGTGGATGGCCCAAATTCTTCTTATATTTGCTACTTAGCAAGTGAATAGACGCTTCAGTGGTGCTTTCTTCCATTTCCTATTTATGGAAATTAGTTGGTTTTTTTTTCGGGTTTTTTTAACGAACTGCCAATTTGGCGTCGTCCGTACGGAGAGTTTAGTATACTTATTACCATAATTCGTTTTCTCTTTTTTTGTTTGTTTGTTTGTTTTTTGGTTTTTTTTTTTTTTTTGGTTTTTGTTTTTTTTTTACACTAGTCCAGGAAAAATCTCTATGAGTGATTGGGGTTACCATGTTGCTTTGAACTGCTATGCATTAATCATTCGTATCGATTATCTCTCTCATTCACATCTATCTATCTATCTATCTATCAATCTATCTATCTATCTATCTATCTATCTTGTTCGATTCCTCCCTATCTATTTCAGTCTCTTGTTGTCTATCAGTCTATCAAATTATCTACTTGAATGTGATCTTTATCTATCGAATATGTTCATATCTATCTATCTATCTATCTATCTATCTATCTATCTATCTAAACTGATTCCTGTCTATTTCAGCCTGTTGATATATATTTCTGTATATCTATAACTATATATGTTTTTTCATATCTATCTAAGTTTGTTTATATTATCTATCTATCTATCTATCTATCTATCTATCTATCTATCTATCTATCTATCTTAGCCTGTTCTTATAGTAGCTTGTTGATATATATCAATCTATATCTGTTTTTCATGTCTATCTTTCTAAGTCCATTTATACTGTCTAAATCTATTCATATCTATCTATCGATCGATCGATTGATCTGAATTGATTCCATTCAATTTCAGCCTGTTGATATATATCTATACATATCTATATCTACGTGTTTGTTTCTATCTATCTATCTATCTATCTATCTATCTATCTATCTATCTATCTATCTATCTATACCTGTTCCTTTAGCAGGTTGTTGATATATATATCTCTATCTATATCTGTTTGTTCATGTCTTTCTCCCTAAGTACATTCATATCTAAGTCTATTCATATCTAAGTTTATTTATATCTATCTATCTATCTATCTATCTATCTATCTATCTATCTATCTATCTATCTCAGACCGTCGCATCTATCTATCTATCTATCTATCTATCTATCTATCTATCTCATTCTGTTCAAATCTATCTCAGTCTGTTCATAAGAATCTATCTCTCTATCTATCTATTTATCTCAGTCTGTGCAAATCTCACAGTGACAAATTTTAAAACTCTGATTTCAAATAATTCGTGTATAATCGTTACCAAGAACTCTAAAATTTGACACAATATCAAAAGTGCGTTTCTTACATAATATGTTATGCAAGACTAGCACGTAAGCGACTGTTCTATATGCCCTATATTCTTCGTGTTAAATTTTGTAGAAAGTCCTCCATTTTGGATTTTTTTTCCTTAAGGGAGATAACTTTAAGCACTTCTTTTCACGTATAGGAAATTATGTTATTTTAAAAATCAAATATTAAATTTTTCTCACAATAATGTCCTTTCTCTCTCTTTTTTTTTTTAAATTTCAGATGGTGTCCCTGAACTGAGCCGATTGCTGTGTTGTATAACACAAGACTGATCACTTCCAATAAGCTTGACTGCCGCCGCAGCTATGAGCCTTGCAAAGATAGAGAATAAAATTCACGAGCGTGAATTTGGCCGTCTCCAGTCAACCAACACCCACGAAAAAAATGACCAAACAAAACCCAACAAAGCCTTGTGATTAAGAAGCATCAATAATGATAAACTGATTTCTAAAATAGAATTTTCTATCAGCATTTTGTTGATAATTCGATTCGCGCCTTCACATATAAATTGTCCATTATCTGCGAATACAAATCCTCGCACTTGATTTATATATATATATGTGTATATATATATAAAAACCAATTTTAACAATTATCTGTAAATATAGTGAATCTGAGAACTCCTAAAAAATGAATCTTAAGATTATATTGAATTAAAATTAAAAAATGCAGTTTATAAAGTTAAAACAGTTAAACATTATCTCTTTCTAATTTTATTGAGATGAACGAAGGTTATTTGGATGTAAGGGATATATATATATATATGTATGTAAAATACGATAATAATAATGTTTTTAATTAATTAAAAAAGCTGAAATTGATATGAATATTATTGTGCTTAATGATATTGTGAAATAAAATCATTGTAAAATAAAGAAATAGATTCCGAAGAAAACAATATCGATTTCGCAAGGATATATACCAGGCGAATATATTATAATCCTTCAAAGATACACAGAAAAGAGAATCCGATAGAGAGAAAAAAGTAGAAATATTTCTGTGTTTTTACTTTCAAGAAACTGACCTTTTTAAGTATAACAAAGAAATAACAAAAGTTATAAATATATATATATATATATATATTTTATGATGTAATGCGGATTTTATATAGACGAAAGAACAGAAACATATTTTGAAATATACAAAGAAAGAAAATATTAGAATAAAGAAGAGTTAAAGAAATAAAAAGAAAGAAAAAGAGAAAGAAAAAGAAAAAGAAAAAAACGAACGAAAAAGAGAAAGAAGAAGAAGGAAAAAGATAAAAAGGAAGAAGGAAAAATTAAAGGTGCATTAAGAAGAAAAAATAATAACGAAAAAATATATTTTTAAAAAATCTAAAGAAATAAATTGTAGGACGTAAAAATAGAAGAAGAAAAAAAGAAACGGAAAGAAAAAAGAAGATAAAAAGAAAGAAAAATTATAGCCGTATCAAGAAGAAGAAGAAGAAGAAGAGGAGGAGGAGGAAATATTAAAGAAAGGCAATAAACTACATTAAAATAAGAAAAAAATACATAAAGAAAGAAATCGTGAAGAAGAAAAAAAGAAGAGAAAAGGTAAAAAGAAAAGGGTTGATGAATTAAAGAAAGAAAAAGAAAGCAAATAAAAAAGAAGAAAAAAGATAAGAAAAGAGGAAGAAAAAAAAACAGGCAAATTATAAAAAAAAATAACAGAAAGGAAAAAAAACAGACACAAATAATTAAAAAAACAAAAAAAGGAACGAAGGAAGAAAAAAGGTAGAAGGTGAACGAATCAATAATTTTCTGGTTTTAACCACGTCAATAATGGAACGTATAGAAATGAATCACTTAAGTATACCAAGTCCTCACTCCGACAATGAAGACGGTGACGGGAACAGTAACCCACTGTACGGAAGCACGTTGACCCTGGGGGCTAGTTCCCCGGGGGCTGGAGCTTCAACAGCAAATCTTCTAAAGATCGATCTAGAAAAAAAGATTGACCGTCACACGGGAGAAGAGAGAGAAACATGGGACAACAGGGTACAGTTTATCCTGTCCCTCGCCGGTTTTGCTGTTGGCCTGGGGAACGTATGGAGATTCCCATATCTCACGCAAAAGAATGGTGGAGGTAAGTAAGCTAACTATTTTCTTATCAACGTCCATGTTTTCAATAATCGATGACGCGAACGATCCCATATATAAATTAGTCACGTTGTATCCACGGGGGATGAGATTTCAACACTCGAAACTGCAGATTATAACACTGTCTATATACTCTATACGTAAAGTTGACCCATGATCAGTTATAACAAATTATAGGAGACTATTTACATTATTCGAACGATTTTATTCATCATTGTTGCCATATTTATTACAACGTTTCGACCGTTGTACACTCCGGCCTTCTTCAGATGGTTGGAATGTCGAACTGAACCATTTATTTCGCTCACTTGGATAGGTTGTTCTAGTTCCACGTGCCATGTCTAATGGATGTCAGTTATCTCCTGTTAATTCCCCTTTCCAAGTCCTCCACTGACTTAACCGGGTATTGAACTCACACTCTTTGAGTCCTGTCACTGGATCTAACTAACGTCTTTATCGCCTGTGCTATGTTTTCTTGAGTGGATAAAGACGTTGGTTAGATCCAGTGACAGGGCCCAAAGAGTGTGAGTTCAATACCCGTTTAAGGCAGGGGAAAACTTAGAGAGGGGAATTAGAGGAGAGGGGATAACTGATAACTGACAGGCAACCAACTGAAGAAGGCCGGAGTGTACAACGGCCGAAACGTTGTAATAAATTTGGCTACAAAGATGAGGACAATAGTCCGAATAATGTAAATAGTGTACATAATACCTCATCTCAGATATATTAACAAATTATAAGAGGTAATGAAATCGGATACAGATTAGCTTGCCTGAGAGGTAGTTTCACACATTAGAGCAAATTGCTACAACGGTCGAATTATGTTCTTAAATGGCCTCATCAGATCGACACCTGCCTATGGATGCCATTTAAACGTAAATATTTCCGATTGGTCTTTTTTAATCATCCCCCCCCAGGCAAGGCGGGAGTGCCACAAGTAAAGAGGGGATTACAGAAAGTGAAAGAAAAGACTGGGTATAGGGGTTATTAAGGAAAGGCTAAAATATGAACGGTGTTCAAGACAACAGAAGATGGCGAGCGACGTTGTATTTAAATTTTTGAAGAGTGTAGTTATCAGGGAAGCAAGTAACCGGAAGGGAGTTTCACTGTCGGGAAGTGCGAAAAAGGAAACTTTGGAATAGAAGTGACGGTTAACTTTAACTATTGCAATAGTAAAAGGGTGGGACGTAGATGCCAATCTAGTTGCACTCTTAAATTCATGTAGTCGGCGCACCAGGGAATAAAGCTCGTCAGAGCAATTGCCATGAAAATATTTGCAGGCAACACAGAGGAAAGCTTCGCCACGTCGCTAAGAAAGTCGAGATGCCAAGTCAGGATCGGTTACAGATCCTTCTTTGGATTTTGTCAAGAACCTCGAGATGAACAGCAGGAGCCAGAGACCAGATATGGAAACAGTATTCAATGAACGGACGAATGGTATATTTAAAATGCGCAAGATGGACACTGTCGAGAAAAAACCTTCTGGCACGATAAAATAAACCAAACCTCCTTGCAGTAGATGCAGCTACTGATTCAATGTAGTTGTTTCACTTCAAGTCAGTTGAAGGCGCAACGAGACGCTCTCCTGGAGTTGTGCATTAGCCATATTGATAGTGGGATGGGGAGTTTCTCTATGGTGGTTAAATGAAAGCAGTTTAGTTTTGGAGACATTCAAATTTACAGGCCATTTCCTGTCCCGGTTAACTACTGATTGGAAGTGTTTTCAAAAACAGCAGCCAGGTCAACTTTGTCAGCACTGGCGGATTTGCTTTTGATGCAGGAGTAAATAGTGGTGTCACCTGCATAAATGCCTACTTGGGAACTGATGACATCTAGAAGATCATTTATGAAGATCAGAAACAGCGTAGGACCCAGTATACAGCTTTGCGGGGTCACCAGCGTTCGTGTGAAATGATCTGGAAACGAGCCCGTTTAGAAGGACTTTAATTTCACGATTTGATAGCAATGATTGGATTAAATCAAACAGTCGTCCTGTAAAACCGTAGCCCTGATGCTTACGTAGAAGACCAGCATGCCAAACCCTGTCAAACACAGCACGATATTCGTGGTTATTATCAAGAGTTTAATATACATATTCAGTGATGGCCGTAATCACATCAGTGCTTAACCGGGCAAAACGAAATCCATATCGTTTGTCAGAGAGTCAGCATTGATTAAAGCCTCGAATACTTTGCTAAAAAGCGGTAAAAGGCTAATAGGGCGATAGTTAGAGGGATCAGAAGGTTCTCCAGATTTCTTAAAAACAGGGTCTACAGAAAAGGACTTCCAACAAGCTGGAAAGCAGGAAGCAGCAAGGCAATAGTTGTAGAGTTTTGAGAGAACAGGAGTCAGATCGGGAGAACATTTCTTTAGGACGACAACTGGGATCCCGTAACCTACGCTTACCTTATGTGAATCTAATTTGGAAATGATTTCCGAGACCAGTAACGGGGTTATGCGCATATCAGTATAGCCTCAGTTCCAGGGGTAAATCAGGTGTGCGTACTCCAGATGAGTCGAGTGTTGAGTTGGAAGAGAATTTCCGAGCAAAGCATTCAACTTTTGTCATGGAGTAGGTTGTAGGAGGTAAGGTGCTTAACCACTTCAGCATTGATTAAGGCCTCGAATACTAATGGTAGGAGACTAATAGGACGATAGTTATATGAGTCAGAAAGTTCTCCAGATTTCTTAAAAACAGGGACTACAGAGGAGGATTTCCAACAAGTAGAAAGCATCGAGTTAATAGTTGTAGATTTTGGAGAGAACTGGGGCCAGCTCGGGAGAACATTTCTTTAGGGCGACAGCTGGTATCCCGTCGCGTCTACTTACCTTAGAAGAGTCTAATTTAGAAATGATTTCCGAGACCAATGACGGGGTTATACGCATATCCCTCAACTATAGCCTCAGTTCTAGGGGGAAAATAAGGTATGGGTACTCCAGATGAGTTGAGTGTTGTGCTGGAAGAGAATTTCCGAGAATTTCCACCTTATTTGCTGCATATTTCATGACTTCGAATTGAATGAATAGGCGATGGATTGAGTATTAGCTGTTGTTCATCACACTCTTGCAGAGCCGCCAATAATCTCTAGAACCAAAACTTGCGAGATGTTATCTGTTGTTTCATTTTATCAGCAAGCAGTAATTTCGCTTTATTGAGGACACGCTTGCACTCATTACGAACAGAGACAAAGAGACGTCTGATGTAATCAGATGTTTTGCTCTGGTAAAGCCGGAAGAAGTGATTCCTGTGGGCTATAGCGGGTGAGCATGCAGGTTAAAACCAAGGAGATGAACGCGGTTTAACTTGGTATTTCCTTGCTGGAATGAAAGCATCGATGCTGGCAAGGAAATCACGGAACCAGTCCCAATCTGATCGTTGATAACAGAAAGATATTCTGTTAATAGGAAGTTCTTGGTTGGTCGGTGAGCAGAAGGAGACGTTTATAGACACTACCGCATGATCAGAGTTGCCAAGAGGGCAGAGCTGCGTAGTAGTACATGAGTCAGGAATAGAGGTAAAAAGAGATCGAGAAGAAAACCATGTCCATCAGGGTTACTGGAGAAATGTGTGGGGAAGTCAACCACCCGTAAGAAGGGCAGGAAGTCGTGTTTAATCCACCTGGTATGAACACAAATATATTTGCAAACGGGTGTATTATCGGAAATACTATTTAGCATGCAACAGTCTTGAGAGAAGAGGAACGGTAGAGAAAGAAGAGATCCTTAGTTTATAACGGGTTATACTACGCCTCTCAGAGAGAGGGACGAATCAAGCCGAGCTTGGGCACCCTACTGGCCAAGCTTGGCTTGCTAGAACAATACGGCTGAGGGAATCCTCACGTTAAATTTCGGCCTTTGCCACATCCACATGAAAATCACTGGGGCACCTCGAGGCGTGGGGGTTGGTTAGAACAATACGACTGAATCGAGTTCGAGCACTGGGTGGATTTAGTAGATCACATCTAAGCTACGCTTGGAAAACCAGACCTGAGGCAGTAATGGTTAGCGTTTGGCTCGTTAGAACATCTTGTATTATTATTTCTTGTGCCACATAATGGAAAATCACTGGGGCACCTCGAGGCGTTATTTCAAGCTTGGCTCGTTAGAACAATTACGACGTAGTGAGTTCGATCTCACTGGGTGGCCCCTAACCTGGACCATAACGCTTGGAAAACTATATTGAATCAAGCCGAGCTTCTCGGTGAGAGAAACTCTCTGCCTCTGAGCAGAGAGGAGACACAGTCTCCGCCGAAAGAAGTTTCGTTCGGGAGATTAAAGAGAACGGGTTCTACGGGCAGCTGGCGGAAGATGTTTGCGACATAAACTCCCAGTAAATATCAAATGTCAGCCGATGGTAGTTTCCAAACCAGAGTCCTTTCTAAGGACCTTCCACATCTTGTATTATTATTTAGGAATGGAGAAATTTCAGAGTTCGTGTTGGATTGGAACCTGGAGTTAAAGTTTAGTAGAGAAAGACGGAGACACAGAATGCTAGAGATGCCCAGAGACTTATCGAAAAAGAACAAATCCATGTGGATTTTAGAGTCCTTTCTAAGGAGAAGGTATTTGAATGGAGAAATCAGAGAAATGTTAAAATTAGTTTCACAGACTGAGGAAGACTTTTCGAAAAGTTGCAGTTGTTTGAATAACACAAATGTTGTTTTTTTTTTTTTTTGTTTTTTTTTTTTTTTTTTTTCTGAACTGGTTGAGGTTTATATCTTGGGTTGTTTATAGTCATATTAGTAAAGAAAAGGCCAAAGGTAGTAGTAGTAGTCAGTCATCTAATGCAACATGTGCATACTGCAACATAGTTTGGCCTCGAGGTGGCACACCAGTTGTGCTTGCAGGGACACCCTTCTACGCGCGACATGGCACTACAAGAACCCCGATATTATGCAACTGTTGATCAGAGCAACCTCTCAAGACGCCACGCAAGAGTTCAGGTTCGCAACTTCCAGTCGAGAACAGCAAACACAAAACTGCCAATCCGGTGCCCTCAGTATAAAGAAACGTTTCGTCCA